GGTGAAGCATTGTGTGCGGGTGGTACAAGAGCAACTACAGATGATGCTGGTTTTTAGGAAGCATACCAGGGATGGCACAAACCGACAGCTGGTGGTCTACTTACCGATTGCGCCACTTAAAGCGACTCTAAACGTTCTTTTTTTTGCAAAATAACAAACGTCTATACTTACCTGCTGTGTATAATGATTTTGCACACAGCAGCCTGGATCCTTCTCTTCTCGGGTCTCCTTCAGGCTCTCTCCTGGCCAATCCGTCCTGTTGGGTGCCCCCACAGAAAGCAGCTTGCTATGGGGCATCAGCTGCTCCATGTGTCTATTCACACACAGAGCCGTGACTTGCCCCCCCCCCTCTCCACATTGGCTGACTGGCTGTGATTGACAATCTCCGGAGGAGAAAGAGACCCATGACCCAAGGCTGTCATTAACATCGCTGGCTTGTGCTGAGGCTCAGGTAAGTATTGAGGGGGCTGGGGGAGCTGCTGCACACAGAAGGTTTTTTACCTTCATGTATACAATGCATGAAGGTAAAAAACTTTCAGCCTTTGCAACCACTATCAGGAGCTGACTTTCACAGCTGCTACCAAAATTTATGTTAATAGACACATTAAGAATGTTTCCGTCTACAGTCATAATCCAACTTCTGGTTTATTATATGATCAAAAAATATTCTAAAATGCATTTTGAAAGAGCACAGTCCAGCATGCTTAGTGGTGCAATCTGTTAAGGCCTGTATTTCTAAGCACCAGGCTGTTAGTTTGACTCCTGAGTCTGGACTAAGGTGTCCTAATGATGTCTGCTTTTTTTTTTCAGAAGACGTGTTCTAATATTTTACTGTGTATTTTTATGTGTTGAATTGTCCTCCAAGAAAAGGTAACTCTAAAAAAACTGGTAAGGTATCCCAGAATTAGATAAATCACAATATCAAAATCAGCTTTTGGCTTGTACTAGTCTTCTAATGCCTGCTGACATCCTGAGTTTTAGATGAACTCAGCTGGTGATGCAGCGTTTAAAGCTATGGCCTGCCCTTCTTCCTCTCCTCTGAGCTACCCACCATCATCCTTGGTGACTTCAATATCCCTATCAATGTCAACAACCTGGCTACATCCCAACTCCTCAACCTAACCTCTTCTTTTGCACTCTCACAGTGCACACAGTCCTCAACCCACACCGACGGGAACACCCTGGACCTCGTTTTCCTCCCATCTCTGCACCCCCCACAACCTCACTAACACCCCTTTCCCTCTCTCTGACTAGAACCTCATTACGGTCTCCATCTCCCCATCCTCTAACACCTCCCCCCCCAAACGTCAAACCATCACCAGCCGTTACCTCCGCAACCTGAACCCGGCCCCTCTCCACTCTGCAACTGACCGTCTGTACGACAGTATCCTTCCACTGTCATGCCCTGACCTGGCCACTACTACGTACAACGACTCGCTGTCAGCTGCCTTAGACTCCTTAGCACCCCTAACCACACGTAGCATTAGACCCCAACCGCGTCAACCGTGCAGAACGACCACACTAAAAATCTTAAACGCCGCAGTTGCGCGCTGGAGCGACTATGGCGCAAAACCAGATCTCCTTGAGCGTTCTCCCTCTACAAATCCGCCTTCCTCACCTACACCTCCTCCCTCCACGCCGCCAAACAAGCCTACTTTGTAACCCTCATCAACACCCTCTCCTCCAGTTCTCGCCGGCTCTTCTCCACTTTCAACTCCCTACTCTCCCCCCCCCCCCCCCCCCATCCTGTACCTCACTCACCTCCCACGAGATTGCCAATCACTTCCAAAATAAGATCGACGCAATCCGTAAGGACATCACCAATGCTCAACCTACCTCCCCACCTAGCCTCCCTACCACCACAACCCCACCTACTCTCCCCTTATCTGACCTCGCAACCACCCTAACCCCCCCCCCACCACATCTAACATCCCGCACACTATTACCTCCCCAACACTCCGCGCCTTCAGCCTTGCCACCACTGAGGAGGTCACCAAGGTCTTCTCAGAAGCCCGCCTCACCACTTGCCCCCTTGACCCTGTCCCCACACAACTCCTCCGGGCACCCTCCTCCTCCATCCTACGCTCCCTCACCCACATCTTCAATCTCTCCCTCTCTACTGGCGCATCCCCCCCCCCCCCAAAGCACGCACACATCACCCCTATACTCAAAAAACCCTCCCTGGACCCCACCGACCTGAACAACCTTGGATCCATCTCCCTGCTGCCATTTACTTCCAAGCTCCTTGAGCGCTTAGTCTACAATCGCCTAAGCGCCCACCTCACTGACAACAACCTCCTCGATCCACTACAGTCTGGCTTCCATCTCCTACACTCCACCGAAACTGCCCTACTCAAAATCACTAATGACCTGCTAACCGCCAAAGCTAATGGCCATTACTCAGTCCTTTTGCTCCTTGACCTCTCCGCGGCCTTCGACACAGTTGACCACCCCCTCCTCCTTAATAAACTACACTCCCTCAGCATCAGAGACTCCGCTCTCTCCTGGCTCTCCTCCTACCTATCCCAACGCTCCTTCAGCGTTACCTATAATGCTACCACCTCCCCCCCTCTCTCCCCCTCTCTGTTGGGGTCCCCCAAGGCTCTGTCCTCGGGCCCCTTCTCTTCTCCATCTACACCTCCTCCCTAGGCAAACTGATACACTTCCACAGCTTCAACTATCACCTCTACGCTGATGACACGCAAATTTACCTCTCCACCCCTCACCTCACCCCTTCAGTCTCCGCCCGTATCACCCACCTGCTGAACGACATATCAGACTGGATGTCGCTCCATTTCCTCAAACTGAACCTTTCCAAAACCGAGCTCCTAATCTTCCCCCCAGCCCGCGCCCCCCCCCCCACCCTCTCCATCATGACCAACAACACCACCATCAGTCCCACCCCACAAGCCAAAGTCCTAGGTGTCACTCTATACTCAAACCTGTCCTTCCAATCCCATGTCCAATCGTTGGCAAACTCATGCAGACTCCACCTCCGCAACATCTCCAAAATACGTACGTTCCTAACCTCAGACACTACTAAACAACTCGTTCACTCCCTCATTATTTCACGTTTGGACTACTGCAACTCCCTTCTCACTGGCCTACTTCATCACAGACTATCCCCGCTTCAGTCTATCCTGAACTCAGCGGCCAGACTTATCCACCTTACCAACCGCTCCTCTTCTGCCACCCCCCTCTGTCATTCCCTCCACTGGCTCCCGATTGCCCAACGCATTAAATTCAAACTACTAACACTGACATACAAAGCCATTCACAACGCTGCCCCAAACTACCTCACCGACCTGATACCCAAATACCACCCAACCCGTAATCTTCGCTCCTCACAAGACCTCCTACTTTCTAGCTCCCTGGTCTCCACCTCCCACACCCGACTGCAGGACTTCTCCAGGACTTCCCCCATCCTCTGGAACTCACTACTCCAATCCATCAGACTGTCACCTACCCTCCTCACCTTTAGGCGCACCCTGAAAACCCATCTCTTCAGGGAAGCCTACCCCACCCTCACCTAACAGCCGATCTCCTCCACTCCTCCTACCACTCCATCCCCCACAGCCACTTCCTCCTGTACCACTTTCCCCTCCCTCCTAGATTGTAAGCTTGATAGAGCAGGGCCTTCGAACCCCTTGTGTATTGTTTTGTTACTGTATTGTCTCATGTTCTGTCCCCCACTATAATGTACAGCACTGAGCAAACCTTTCTGGCGCTATATAAATACTGTATAATAATATAATAATAATAATATTAACCACCACGTTGTGAGTTTGAAGCTGGATGGCTGCCTAAAATGTACAGTATTGTGGCTTTGGGAAAGGGTGACCAGCTGTGGCTGGGGTTTTGTATTAAGATGAAGTTGCGGGTAAAGGTGGTCACATTGAGGTGATGTTGCTTTGAGTAAGGGTGGTGTCAGGGCGCGAGTGTTCTGCAGCATCGCGCCGGGCGGTGCATGCGCAGAACACCGACACGCTCTAGCCGGCGGGCACCAGGACCTGGACGAGCGCAGCTGCGGCGATGGCTGAGCATGCGCACTCGTGATCGCGGACACGCGCCTGGCACCAATGACAGCGCAGGCGGGCTATTTAAACAGAACAGAGGTATGTCAAAATTGCTGTTTGGTCTTATCTGCTCTGTTCCTGATTCATGATCCTGTGATTATTCCATTGCCAACCTCTGCATTGTACCTGACCCTGCTGACTTCTCCTGATTAACCCCTGGCTTGCCTGACCATCCTTCTGCCTGATCCTTTGTACCGCGCTGCCCGCTAATTGCTGAACCTGGCTTGTGACTCCAACCATTCTCTGCTTACTCCTCTGGTACCTCGCTGCCTGCACATTGCTGACCTGGCCTGCCTGACTACGCCTCACGCTACCCAGATGATCCATCCATCCCGCACGGATTGCTCCCTGTCAGTAAGTCTGCCAGCCTCTTCACATCAGACTCCGTTTCTCGCACACCCCTGACGGTACTCTCTACCACTGCCGGACGTACTCAGGGGTCGCGACCTGGTCTCAGTCCATCCCCACCATCAGGGGCCCTGGTGAATAGCAGATTGGGACTTAGACCCCGCGCCCTGAGGAACTCCGCACTGTGGGCTGCTAGAGACACTGCCGGGCGGATCATAACAGGTGGTCATATGGGGGGCAGGGTGTGATATTTTAACTATGAGCAACAGAGCCATGTGAGGATGGTGTTCCGTTTAATGGTACTCACCCAAAACTCAATTGCTTTGTTTATTTTTTATTTTTTTCACCAATGGAACAGAGAAAAAATGCAGGACTTTGTGGACACCCTTATCCACAACAACTTCCACATGTTTCAAGGGCTTTACCACTCTCCCCTACAAAGGGAGAGTGTTACTGTCAGGGCTCCCGGGTGAGACCAGAGGTGTGTGACTGACTCAGGGAAACGCAGACTTCAGATATGTGATAAACAATATAATTTATTAACACTAACAATACAAACATAAACGCAGTGCAATACTAAAACATAATACAGTGCAAACAAACCAAACCAACCACCCACAGATAACAGTACATACAAGCAAGCGTCGTCAGGCAGGCCGGGTCAATATCAATAGGGCAGGTAGGTACAGGGGGAGCAAGCGGAGATTGGTCGGGGTCACAGGCCAGGTTCAGCAGGTAGCAAGCAGCGTAGTACAGAGGGTCAGGCAGAGAGATGGTCAGGGTCACAAGCCAGGGATCAGAACAGGTAGCAAGCAGCGTGGTACAGAGGGTCAGGCAGAGGGATGGTCAGGAGCGAGCCGGGATCAGAGCAGGAGAAGTCAGCAGCGGTTCAGATCAGGCAGGGTCAGCAAAGGAACAGAAACAGGATGCAGGACAGATACAGGGCCCAGGACAAACACAACACCAAGGCAGAGTCTGTAGGTCTGGCCATCCCTTAAATACACCAGTATAATCAGTTCCAGGTGTTAGCTGGCTGAAAGGTTGAGTCTCTGATTGCTGGGAGCACCCGCTGGCCAGCCCTGGTACTGCAGATCAAAAGGCAGGTGAGTCCCACCATTGCTGGCCAGTCCATTCCTGACAGTTACATTTATCCCTGGCAAACCACCATCCAGCAAGGCTCTCTGTTCACCCTTTCCCACAATACCACCTTCATCCAGTGAGACTCTGTTGCCAGCCTTAGCTTCATCACCACCCACACATATGGCCAGCCATACCCACAACATCCATATGTTTCAAGGCCTTTAACACTTGTGTTCTGCTTGCTGTGTCCAACTACTGCATATGCTGCTGATCCATATGTCCTCTCTTGGTCCCACTATCTGCCTATTTCTTCTATAGACCTAATGCACATTTACCGGCTGCTGGCCACAGGTGTGGACTGTGCACCTGTGCCTTCTGCCTGCATGAAGATGCTTGAATCTAATGGACATGTACTAAACACCCAGTGTGCATGAGGCCTCCTGTCCATCGTTGCCATCACTAGCTCTTGTCCATCATTGCCAGCAGCCTGTAAATGTGCATTAGGCATAAACAAGAACGAGGCAGATAGTGGGCCCAAAAATGACATAAGCAACGAGATTTAAATTAGGTAATGAAAGTCTGTGATAACCTAATGTCCCCAGCAGATACACAGGAAAAAATTCCAAGAGTGGTGAGGATAAGATCACAATCAACACTCTGAATGACAAATAGTTGGACATAGCAAGCAAAATCCTAATGCCAAATGCAGCAAAAAACTCAAACACTTTTTATTAGATTGCTTAAAGGTATTTCTGTTTTCAAACATTTTTGTTTTTCACAGTTATTCTGTCAAATCTTTTTTTCAATACATACTGTGTATTGCAAGTTTATCAAAGTACAGGCTAGAACATAAAAAGGTGAAACTGACTGGATGGCGTCATAGACAGCATTTGGTGCTAAATTTCCTGTAGCAGGACAACATTGGTGCGTAATTTATCATGAGAAAATTCAAGTAGTTACTATTACAGTCCACCAAGGGGTAGTGTTTCCTTTTAAAATAACTGTTGGTTTTAATATTAGCTTATAATGATATATGTAAGTAGGTTGATGTTTGTTATAGTATGGTGATTTATGGTCTTTTTACTATGTAATTACGTGCCTGATGACCACCATTACCGTCATAGAATATATTTATCTCCCCGTCAGTACCAGTGATCATTGCTTTTTTAAACCTTTAAAATGTGTAATTGTTTAGGTTTATTTTTTTATATTTGTATTGAGTGGTGCTTATATAATTGTTTATATAATTTTTTATAATTGTTATTTTATCATCATGTAAAGTGTGTGCCGAAGCTGTGGTAAAAATGGCGCGGGATGCCTTTAAGAGATACACTATATTGCCAAAAGTATTGGGACACCCCTCCAAATCATTGGATTCAGGTATTCCAGTCACCTCCATGGCCACATGTGTAAAAAAAATCAAGCACCTATGCATGCAGACCACTTCTATAAACATTTGTGAAAGAATGGGTCGCTCTCAGGAGGAGGAGTGAAATTTCCTTGCTACTAAATATTCCACAGTCAACTGTTAGTGTTATTATAACAAAGTGGAAGCAACTGGGAACAACAGCAACTCAGCCACGAAGTGGTAGGTCGTGTAAAATAACAGAGCGGGGTCAGCGCATGCTGAAACTCACGGTGCTCAGAAGTCGCCAACTGTCTGCAGAGTCAATAGCTAAGGACCTCCAAACTTCATGTGGCCTTCAGATTAGCACAACAACAGTGCGTAGAGAGAGCTTCATGGAATGGGTTTCCATAGCCGAGCAGCTGCACGCCGTCACTGGACTCTAGAGAGGTGTTGACATGTTCTCTGGAGTGACAAATCACTCTTTTCTGTCAGGCAATTCGATGGACGTGTCTGAGTTTGGTAGTTGTCAGGAGAACGGTACTTGCCTGACTGCGTTGTGCCAAGTGTAAAGTTTGGTGGAGGGGGGATTATGGTGTGGAGTGGTTTTTCAGGGGTTGAGCTTGGCCCCTGAAACACAACAGTTTCAGTTCCAGTGAAGGAAACTATTAAGGCATCAGCATACCAAGCCATTTTGGACACTTTCATGCTCCTAACGTTGTGGGAACAGTTTGGGGATGGCCTCTTCCTGTTCCAACATGACTGCACACTAGTGCACAAAGCAAGGTCCATAAAGATATGGATGAGTGAGTTACGGGTGGAGGATCTTAACTGGCCTGCACAGAGTCCTGACCTCAACCCGATAGAACATCTTTGGGATGAATTAGAGCGGAGACTATGAGCCAGACCTTCTCGCCCCGACATCAGTGCCTGGCCCCACAAATGCGCTTCTGGAAGAATGGTCAAGCATTCCCTTAGACACACTCCTAAACGTTTTGGACAGCCTTCCCAGAAGAGCTGAAGCTGTTATAGCTGCAAAGGGTGGGCCAACTCAATATTGAACCCTACAGACTAAGACTGCAATGCCATTAAAGCTCATGTCTGTGTAAAGGCAGACGTCACAATACTTTAGGCAATATAGTTTATATTGGTCCCGGCTGGTCTCCTATTTATTTATTTATGCTGTCACAGTCATACAAAGTGAAATAGCTGAAACACGTTGTCATGGTGAGAGTCTGTCCATCGGGAGCGGTCCTGCTTGCGTTCTATCCTGAGGTCCAGTTATGGGCAGAGGTGCTTCTTCTGGAGATCGATGACATCACATCCGGCATGCCATTTCCAGTAACAAGACAACCACTGAGACGATCCCAGAACCACGGTGGGTTTGATGTCCAGGTGTTTCACTTTCTATATCCTGCAGTATCACCAGAGTCCAATTGTGGGCACAACCACAGTCTTTATCCACTTGCCCTCTAGAGGATTTATTCCCCTTAATGACCAGGCCTCTTTTTGCTACTCGGCGCTGCACTAATTCAACTGATAATTGCGCGATCATGCAATGCTGTACACAAACTAAATTTACGTCCTTTTTTTCACACAAATAGAACTTTCTTTCAGTGGTATTTGATCACCTTTTTATTTTTCGCGCTACAAACAAAAAAAAAAAATGAAAATTTTAAAGAAAAACAATATTTTTTACTTTCAGCTATAAAAAAATATATGCATATACATGTTTTTGGTAAAAAGTCCTAATAAGTGTATATTGATTGCTTTGTGTGAAAGTTATAGCGTCTACAAACTATGGTATAGATACTGCAATTTACAACATTTTTTTGCTATACAGCGTTGCACTAGTTTAATGGACAATTGCGTGGTCATGCAATTCGGTACATAAATGAAATGTATGTCCTTTTTTTTTCATACAGAGCTTTCTTTTGGTGGTATTTGATCACCTGTGCGCTTTTTATTTTTGGCGCTATAAACATAAACTGTTTTGAAGAAAAAAATGTTTTTTAAAAAAAAACGATATTTTCTCATTTCAGTCATAAAAAGTATCCAAAAAACTAAAATTTCATCATAAATTTTGGCCAAAATGTATTCTGCTACATGTTTTTGATTACAAAAATCCCAATAAGTGTATATTTATTGCTTTGTGTGAAAGTTATAGCATCTACAAACTATGGTATAGATAATGGAATTTACACAGCTTTTACTTTCTGACTGCTTATCACATTTCTTGAGATGCTAAAATACCAGGACAGTACAAACACCCCCAAATTACCTTTTATCGGAAAGTAGACACCCTAAGCTATCTTCTGAGAGGCATATTGAGTCCATGGAAGATTTATTTTTTTTTCCACACGTTTCTGGAAAATGACAAATAGTTTTATTTTTTTTTTACACAAAGTTGTCATTTAAATGATTTATTTCTCACACAAGCCATGTGGAATTACACCCCAAAATACATTCTGCTACTTTTACCGAGTATGGGGATACCACATGTGTGAGACTTTTTGGGAGCCTAGCCACATACAGGAGCCAGAAATCCAATGACCACTTTGAAACATGGAAGGTGCAAAGCTTCTTCATTTCACTTCCTCACTACCTATCAGTTTCAGAGGCCCTGAAATGTCAGGATAGCACCAACCCCCCCCCCTCCCCCCAAATGATCTATTTTTGGAAAGTAGACACCCCAAGGAATTTAAAAAGAAGCATGGTGAGTATTTTGCAGATCTCATTTTTCCTCACAAGGTTTTGAAATATAAAAAAAGAAAAGAAAAATATGTTTGTTTGTTTTTCTTCATTTTCCAAAAAACTTGTGGCAACAAAAGAAATCTGCAAAATACTCATCATGCTTCTTATCAAATTCCTTGGGGTGTCTGCTTTCCAAAAAGGGGTTATTTGGGGGAGTTTGGTGCTATCCTGGCATTTCAGGGCCTCCAAAGAGGTGTGATAGGTAGTCAGAAAGTGTGAAGTAAAAAAGCCTGAAGATGCTTATTGCATTTTGGGGTCCTGTACTTGGCTAGACTGCCAAAAGGTCTCTCAAATGTGGTACCCCCATACTTGGGAGAAGTAGCAGAATGTATTCTGGGGAGTAATTCCACATATACCCTTGGCATGTGTGATCAGTAAATCATTTAAGTGACAATATTGTGTACAAAAGAAGACAAAAAATGTTGTCATTTTCCAAAAACTTGTGGTAAAAAATAAATTCTTCTATTGATTCAACATGCCTCTCAGCAAATAGTTTGGTGTGTCTACTTTCCAAAAAAATGGGAGTATTTTATGCCCAGCATTAGACGTTTACACCACACATCATTTACTCTTCTAACCTGAAGATCAAGCCTTTTCTGACACTTTTTGGTCACATAAAAAAAAAAAACAGTATTTTTTGCTAGGAAATTAATTTAAACCCCCAAACATTATATATTTTTTAAAGCAATAAAATGGTGAGTGCTACAATTTTTTATGTCACATAATACTCGCGCAGCGATTTTTCAAAAGCAAATTTAAAAATAAAAATACACTTTTTTTACTTTTAATGCACAAAAACACTAAATATTGGC